CTGTGTCCCAGCCACAGTAGATTCCCCAGCAGCAGCAGCCCATGTGTCTTCTGGTCTCCAGATAAACAAATATGGCCAATTTCCATTTCCGGCCACAGCTGAACATGCTGCTTGCTGGCTGTACTCCCTCTAGTGGCCGAAAACAGAAGATCAAGCACATCTCGGGAACAATTGCCAACACCCCTCTGATGGAAACTCAGTCACAAAACCTCTCCTTTTCCCTCAAATTCAGAACTTTGTTTCCTTTTACAGAGAGAGAAAAAAAAAAAAAGATATCTTACCAGTCCCACTGCAGGTCCCTGATTTCCGTCAGGCACCAACCTTCATCCATCACGGTGGGAATTGTCATACAGACCTTCAAGGACTCAGATCCCATGCTGAGCGGCCACGGCCGTATAGCACCCCACTGGAAGTTCCTTGGTCAGATTTAAAACTGCTCAGGGTCCTATCTGTGCGAGGTCCAGCGCCGTAAGGCTACATTACAGGCAAAACCTCAAGGATTCTTCTCCTTATCCAGCAAGGCTCAGGTACCATCCATTTTGGCTCACAGCTTTCCAAATGGATCCGATTAAAGTCTCTGATTCTCGAATGGAACCGTTCTGGACTTTCAGGTATACTCCAAGAGCACAGCAACACTGCCACTGACCATCCACCTTACAGACACTGGCGAAAGAACTGAAGTACTTCCTGTATAGGAGGGGTTACAAAGGGGAGGACCTCCTCTCTGATTGGTCAGCCAGTATCCATTCACCTATAGATCACCTATAGGGTCACCTATAACCTACATAGTCATGAATAGCCTGCTCTGTGTCCCGTGATGCACAATAAAGAAATATGGTTTTGGGGGGGAATACAAATTATGAAAGCTGTAAGTGAAAACCTCCAGATTTGAGAAATTTTTGCATATGTTCGATTTTCACCATTTCGCAAAAAGGCACAATTTAATATCGACAAAATATCAGTACAGGTTAAGCTTTTATATTTAGTAGGAATTTAGCAGAGATTTTGTAAAATTTGCTGTGTTTGTATCTGCTAATAATGAGTTTAGTGTATTTTTAGCAAAAATATGGTTTTGATAAATATTTGCGCAAATACTTTGGAGACTTAACTATCAGTAGCACCTTCTTTTTATTCTACTGGTCACGTGATATCAGAAAATATATGGATTGGGGTTTTTTACAAATTCTGAAACCTGTAAGTGAAAAATTAAAAACCTCCGATTTTTGATCATTTACATTTTTGCATGCTTTCGATTTTCACCATTTTGCAAAAACGCGCAATTTAAAACTGACAAATATTTGTTATTTATTAACTCAACACAGGTTAAACTGTTGTATTTGGCAGCAATTTTGTAAAATTTTCTGTGATTTTATCTGCTAATAATGATTTTAATGAATTTTCAGCACCTTCTTTTATTCTACTGGTCATGTGCTTTCAGAAAATATATGGTTTGGGGGGGGTCTTTTACATACTCTGAAAGCTGTATGGTAAAAATAAAAAAAACAATGGAAAAATTGCAGAAATGGTCTGGCCAGCTTAGTTTAAAAGTGGAGCGCAGGACCTGGCACTGAAAGGGTTACTGCATGAAGGTACAAAAAAAAAAAACCCCAAAAAATTCTGCCCTTAGAGCCACTTTAGCTGTAGGACAGTGTGTATTTTTTACTGAAATTCTGCTCTTGATAAACCATTGCGCAAATATCAGGGTCTTTCAGCAAATATATGATGTTTGGGAGTTTTAACCACTTGCCGTCTGCCTGCTGTTCATAAACGGCAGGGCGGTGGCACTCCAGGGGCGGGTTGCCGTTCATAAACGGCACCCACCTTTCCTAGCTGTGCGCGCTCCCTGGGAGCGCGCAGCACTGCGATCCGGTGCCCGTTGTGTCCTCCGGACACAGTGAAACACCGATCGTCGGACGGGACCTCGGTCCCGATCATGTGATCACTGATTGGCCAATCAGTGATCACATGCAAAGTAGTAAGCAAGATGTCACTTGTGACATCATTGCTTACTACGTGTGAAATCTGTGAATGATCACAGAGGTCACATGGTACAAGGCTATTCACAACAGCCTTGTACCATGTGACAAGGTGTGACCAATCACAGCTCACTCAGTAGTTCTCAATGGCTGCAAGAATGCAGACAGAGAGAAAGAGAAATGATTGCTTTTACATCCTATATGGGTGTAAAAGCAATCACTGTAAAAAAAAAAAAAAAAAATCTTCGTCACCCCCCACAAGTAGTACAGTGTCACCATGGTGACACTGTACTGCTAGGGTGACAGTATGTAAAAAAACAAAAAACAAAAACATAAATAATTAAAAAAAAAAAAAGAATTAAAAAAAAAGTTTAAAAATTATAATTTTTGGTTATAAACTAATTTGGCTTATTTATTTTTTTTCTAAAAATATAACGGAATACATTTCGGCCAAGATTTATGATGAAAAATTATTTATTTTCAAAATGTTATAAAAAAAAACACTATTTTTCAAAATTTTTAGACTTTTTCATTTACATAGCAAAAAAAATAAAAATCCCAGTGGTGAATAAATACCACCAAAATAAAGCTTTATCTGTCTCAAAAAAATGGTAAAAAATTCATATGGGTACAGTATTGCATGACCGCGCAATTGTCATTTAAAGTGTGATAGCGCTGAAAGCTGAAAATTGCCCTGGACAGGAAGGGGGTGAAAGTGTCCGGTCTGGAAGTGGTTAACTAATCACCTGATCTAGAGTGATTTTTTTTTTTAAACGAATGCAAAAAAAAAAAACATGCAAAAATGCCTTTAGTAGCAAAAGGGTTAAAGAGACAGGTACTGTGCAAAGAACCCCCAGACCCAGTGATACTCACCTCCCTAGCAGCTCCCTTCACTGCCATGTTCAGACCTAGCAGATGACTGCTAGTTCCAAGCACTGTCACATTATAAGGGGAAGGATGTCAAGACTCAAGCAATCTACACCAGAAATGTTTTTTTTTTTTTTACTGCTTGGTGCAATGCCAGTTTGCGCTGAGCAGCTGGGGCGCTTTTTTAAAACGTCTCTTTAACCACTTCAGCTCCTGAGGATTTACCCCCCTTAATGACCAGGCCTCTTTTTGCTACTCGGCGCTGCACTAATTCAACTGATAATTGCGCGGTCATGCAATGCTGCACCCAAACGAAATTTACGTCCTTTTTTTCACACAAATAGAGCTTTCTTTCGGTGTAATTTGATCACCTGTGCGCTTTTTATTTTTCACGCTATAAACAAAAAAAGGCCAAAAATTTTGAAGAAAAAATATTTTTTACTTTCAGCTATAAAAAATATATAGTAAACTCAAAGTTAGTTATAAATTTAGGCCAAAATGTATTCTGCTGCATGTTTTTGGTAAAAAAAAAAAATCCCAATAAGTGTATATTGATTGCTTTGTGTGAAAGTTATAGCGTCTACAAACTATGGTATAAAAACTGCAACTTACGCCATTTTCTGCTATACAGCGCTGCGCTAGTTTAACGGACAATTGCGCGGTCATGCAATACGGTACATAAATGAAATTTACATCCTTTTTTTCCCCACAAATTGAGCTTTCTTTCGGTGGTATTTGATCGCCTGTGCAGTTTTTTATTTTTTGCGCTATAAAAAAAAAGGCTGACAATTTTGAGGGGAAAAAAAAACAATATTTTGGACTTTTTGCTATAAAACATGTCCAGTAAAAAAAAATGCAAAAATCAAATTTAGTCATAAATTTCTGCCAAAATGTATTCTGCGACATGTCTTTGCTAAAAAAAACCTCAATACGTGTAAATTAATTGGTTTACATGAAAGTTATAGCGTTTACAAACGGCGGGAAAGATACTGGGATTTTTAGGGGTTTTTTTTATACTAATAATGGCGGCAATCAGCGAATTATGGCGGCGATCAGGGACTTATGGCAGCGACCTATGGTGGGACTGTGGCGGACATTCTGACATTGGGTACTGACTTGGGGTCACTGACATCCCCAAAAACACTAGTACAGTGATCAGTGCAAAAAAAAAAAAAAAAAAACACTGACACTGTACTAATGGCACTGGGGAGGAAGGGGTTAACTTTGTTTTGCAGGGAAGGGTTATAGGAGTGAGGGGAGTGTTTTACTAGGGGGCGGGGGTGTGTGCTGCATGCGACAAGGCTGATCGAGAAAGAGAAAGTGTTCTTTCTCGATCAGCTCATCCTCGAGCTAACAGGGAAGTGACAGACAGCACAGCTACTGCAGCTGTGCTGTCTGTCACTGTTTGCCGCCGATCGCCGGGAAACAGCCGCTAAGGACTGGCTGTGACCCGGCGATTTACATCTGCGGCGGTGATCGGCGGGACAGATAGGCGGTGGCGCGCCTCGCGCACCCCCTATTTGTTTACAAAACACATGTTTTAAAACGTGGTTTTGCCTGCGAGTGCCACCCTGCCGCCGTATATCTACAGTGGCTGGGCAGCAAGTGGTTAAAAACATTTTTTTTTAAACTTTATTACCCTCGCAAAGGATGAACATAATCAGCATGGGCTGTGATAGGTACTCTTTACTGAGACATCTGGGATCTATTAGATCCCCAGTTATTTCCTCTGCCCTTAAAAGCATCTGATCAAACTGAGATTGATTTGATCAGATGCTGTACAAGGTTTTGTTTACAGCATCCTTGTCGCTTCCGGTTTCATAGCGACGACTGGGGAGCTTCCATTCTTCTTTTCTATGCTCAGCGAGCAGAAATGCTGGCTTCAGTCCTGGACTCCCCCCCCCGGTGGAACGCAAGAGGGGGATGGGACCATTTTCAACCACACGTAAAAGTAATCCAGTGGCAATATAGCCGCTGTGATTACTTTTTCATTATTCAGTGTCAACACCTGAAAAGAAGGATACCGGGGTCATGACTGCAGCCATGACCTTGGTATAACCACTTCAACCTGAAGGTGTACCGGTACCTTCTAAGGATGGGAAGTGCTTAAAGTGCAAAGAAACCATAAAACTGTCAGTAATTTTAACTGCAGCCTACCTGGGACCCTGGGTGCCATCGCATCAGCCTCTGAGTAGCAAGAATGTTTCCAGCATGGACAAAGTCACCTGAAAATGTAATCAGACAAGGGTCAACAGGATGCAGCAGGAGAGGTAACAAAAAAAATAATGTACACCAGGCAGAGCAATAAAAGACTCCCAAAACAAATTTAAATGACAATTTAATCTCCCCCAAAAAACACTTAGAGAGCCAAAAGGTAGGAAACAAATTGCTAGAGAGGCAAGTGTGATGTCTCTTCACTTGCAGAGACCTTCAATCCGGGTTCCATTTTTTTTGGTGTAGACAGTGTCACTTTAGAGAGGGACTCTCTGGAACCTGTGACTAATTCCAGTATTTTTTTGGTTCCCTGTGGGTGATCTATCCCGGTACGGACTTATGTTTTGGTCTGCACTGTCTCTGTGGAAGTAGCCATCTTGGTAGAGAGAGGGTTTTCCTTCTTAATGTCAGAGCTTCCAGCAAAGAAAACAGTGAGCAGCACAGTAGTGACATCACCAAATAATCTCCTGACACCAGCAGTCAGAGGCAGCAGTGACAGAGATACAGTGGGGATCGAAAGTTTGGGCACCCCAGCTAAAAATTTGTATTAATGTGCATAAAGAAGCCAAGGAAAGATGGAAAAATCTCCAAAAAGGCATCAAATTACAGATTAGACATTCTTATAATATGTCAACAAAAGTTAGATTTTATTTCCATTATTTACACTTTCAAAATAACAGAAAACAAAAAAATGGCGTCTGCAAAAGTTTGGGCACCCTGCAGAGTTAATATCTTGCACTGCCCCCTTTGGCAAGTATCACAGACTTGTAAACGCTTTTTGTAGCCAGCCAAGAGTCTTTCAATTCTTGTTTGAGGTCAATCTTTCCCATTCTTCCTTACAAAAGTCTTCCAGTTCTTTGAGATTTCTGGGCTTGTCTGTCACGCACATGTTCTTTAAGGTCTATCCACATAGACGCGCAATTTTCAATTATGTTGAGGTCAGGAGATTGTGAAGGCCATGGCAAAACCTTCAGCAACGCCTCTTGATGTCAATCCCCCGTGGATTTCGAATGTGTTTAGGATCATTATCATTTGTAGAAGCCATCCTCTCTTAAACTTCAGATCTTTTCACAAGATGGCATCAAGTTACCATCCAAAATTTGCTGACATTTTATTGAATCCATTTTTCCAAAACCCACGTGAGACTGTTCCCTGTGCCCTGGCTGCAACACAACCCCAAAGCATGATTAATCCAACCCCATGCTTAAAGAGATACTTGGACAGAGGTTCTTTTCATTAAATTCTGTGCCCCTTCTTCTCCAAACGTACCTTTGCTCATGCCGGCCAAAAAGTTCATTTTAACCTTTGGTCCACAGAACTTGATTCCAAAATGCATCATGCTTGTCTATATGTTCATTTGCGAAAGTTCAAAAATGATTTTTTGTGGTGAGGACGTTTAGAAGAGGTTTTCTTCTGATGACTCTTCCATGAAGACCATATTTGTACAAGTATCTCATATAGTGGAATAGTGTATCACAACTCCAGTGTCTGCCAGTTTCTGGAGGGATCATGCAGTCAAACGAGTAGGTTTTGAATTGTTTTTCTCACAATCCTGCAGCTGTTCTGTTGATATTTTTCTTGGTCTTGAAAAGATCTTGAAGTTAAAGAGAACTTCCACTTCTTCCTGATGACTGCCATTTCTTAATTACATTCGAAATCCACGGAGGATATTGACATCTGAAAACGCTTTGCTATCTTCTTATAGCCATTCTCCAATTCCTGAGCGTCAACTATTTGAAGTTTCAGTTTTCTACACAACTGCTTAGAAAGACCCATGGTGCTGATTGTTGGGGCAGAAAGGTCAGATGAGTCTGGGCATTTAAAACCTTTGAGATTGACATCACCTGGTCTTCCCAATGATGATTGAGAACAATCCATGACAAAAAGGTCTCAGCTTGGCAAAGGGGGCAGTGCATGCTATAAATTCTGCAGGGTGACCAAACTTTTGCAGACGCCATTTTTTTGTTTTCTGTTATTTTGAAAGTGTAAATGATGGAAATAAAATCTAACTTTTGTTGACATATTATAAGAATGTCTAATCTGTAATTTGATGCCTTTTGGAGATTTTTTCATCTTTCCTTGGCTTCTTTATGCACATTAATACAAATTTTTAGCTGGGGTGCCCAAACTTTCGATCCCCACTGTATACAGCCATAAAAGCTACACACACAAGAACCTATGCACCCCCACATTCCATGAAGTGCATTTTGCTGAGAACCAGCATGACCCCCCCCCATCACTAATGACTGCCATTATCAAAGATTATGTTCCCTGTTGGTAGGACAATTCCCATCCTGACTCAGCAAGTGGCACATTTCACACCTCTGCTTCCATGCAGACTACAAATGTCTTCTCTGTGGCATGCTGGCAGTGGACAGGCTATTCTACACAGGCTGTGGCTGGAGGACTTTGCACACTTTTGATGCACCTGAAATATTTTTGAGTAAATTCAAATTGAATTCAGATGCTGTTACATACTCAGTCGCTATGGGATTCATTTTCTGTGTTCTGCAAAAAAAACTGGTTGATCCTGCTGTTCTCTATCTCCCCCTTCTGTCCATGTTCCCAATACAGTTGGGGATTTTGCAGTGCACTGTTGGCAGCTCAGCACATGCTCAGTTTTCAGTGAATATCTCTGCTGTGCACTTCCTCCCTATCACATCTGAGCAGCCATGTAACTAAAGAGTCACACAAGTGGGTGTATACACAGTGGTAAATGACAGCCCACTCCCTCCCTGCCCACTAACCAGCTAAACACAGTGGGGGGAGGGATATTACATCTTGATTGATGGAGGCTTCACCTCCCTGGTATTCTAAGACAATGTTATTGCCAAAAAAATAATAACGATTTGATTTCAACTATATGACAATTTAAAACAGTTTATTGATATTATTTATTTTTACTCTGTATCCCAAAAGGCAGTTTTTTTTTTTTTTTAATTTTGCACATGTGACCAGCAGCAAAAGACTAGAAGTGGCTCTTTCTTACGTTTCCCTGCAGACAGGCTAGTAAGGAGCTGGTCATGTGACAGCTGTATATTGATTAGGAAAAAAGTACACACATTTTTTTTTTTTTTTTTCAATTAAAATAACTACAGTGCCACCATCCACATACAGAATGAGAAGGGCTAATGTAAATTAAACAGTTTGTGTTTAGTATCACTTTAACCTCCCTGGCGGTATTCCCAAGTGTAGCTCGGGGTAAAATGTCAGTACCGAGAGCGGTAACCCTGAGCTACACTCGGGCTTACTATGCGGCGCTGCATAGGGAGTCCCTGCAGAGCTTACCTTGTCCTTCGCTCCCGCGATGTGTCCCCTGCAGCGTTCCCGGCCATCTCCTCCGGCTGATGCCGGCATCCGGCTTCTGTGTTCCGGTCCTTGTGACGTCGGGACGTACGGGTACCGCCGGCGGGGAAATTTTAAAATTTTAAAAAATGTCATTTTTTTAAAAAAAAATTTTACATAGCAAAACATTGCTGTTTCAACCCATTTCACATACATTTTGTCCCGAGTGCTTTGTCCGGCGCCCTGCCTGCATTTTGTACTGTTCTTTCTGCCTGGAAACTGAGAAACGTCCATGGCGTCCAAAAAGTGTCCCTTTAGGTCAAAAGCGGTTTTAGACCGGTTAGAGAACAGCGATAGTAAATCAGAACCACTTGCAGAATTGAGTGATAATGATTCGTGGGGGAAATTCCTCATCAGACACTGAAAACGATTCTGCGACTTTGCTCAGCAATGTGCGAACTTGGCGCTATATTTCAAATTTCAGTGTTTTTGGTTTGATTATATTATTGAATTAAATGTATTATTATTATTATATTATTTTTTATGATTATTTATTAAATTATAATTTATGATTTTGTGTTTCAAATTTTATCATACCCGGGATGTTTAATAGACTCTTGTTCGGACAGATTTCAGTGAGTTATTCCTAAATATTACAGCCTACAATAAAAAAAACTACATATTTCCATGCAAAATAATGGTACCGCTTTCAGCACCAAAAATCTGAAATAATCATACCGCCAGGGAGGTTAATAAAATATAAATTCTACATTGTTTCAATCTGCTAAATACACTGATCTATTGTGCACTGCATTGGCTCTGTTTCTATCTTTCGATTCAATAAAGCATCACATATTAGGCTCACCATCTAGGGTCTTGACACCGTATCTCTGCCCTGGACTCTTTCCTCCCATGTTCTTTGAAGTAGATCCTGTTTTCTTTGATGCATCCCTTACCAGGATCAACGTTGCAGGTGACGGAGAAACTGAGGCAAAAAACAAACATATTTACAGCAAAATGTTATAAAAGCCCATCTCTAAAATAAAGATAGACTCCTCCTCCATCCCATGCACCTCTAAGGACCTGTGTGTTCAAGGACAAATGCAAGGAACACATAAGACCTCCTCTGCCTGTTCTGGATCCTCTGTTTCTCAAGTGGTCAGTTAGAAAGCAGGAATGCCTCTTCATCAATGCAGATACTCTACTGTTGACACTCACCAAAGACCTGGCCGCACATGCAACCAGTCGTTTTTAGGCTCCATGCATACTAAAAACGAAAAAAAAAAAAACAGCGAAAAAACACTGAATAAAAACACTCAGTATTAGCGTTTTTGCCGGCGTATTTCCATTTTTGCCCTGCTGATTTGCCAAAGTTTAGCTGGGTATAGCAGGTTGTGAAGGAGCCGGCGTCCGCCTGCGTGCTTAACAACCGATGACTCATCAGTGGGATTCCCAGCTGACTGCTGAATGTAAACAAAAGAATGCTGGCAGCATTAAAAAAACAAAACAAACTACATACCCTCCATGCCACAAATAAAAAAAAAAAAACAACAACAGCGTGTTCCCCACCCCTGATGTGAATGTACAATATAGAATGCTCAAAAAAATTAAAGGAACAACTTTTTAATCAGAGTATAGCATAAAGTTAATGAAACTCCTGGGATATTGATCTGGTCAGGTAAGTCGCAGAGGGGGTTGGTAATCGTTTCCGCTGCTTTGGTGTTAATGAAATTAACAACAGGTGCACTAGATGGGCAACAATGAGACAACCCCAAAACAGGAATGGTTTTACAGGCAGAGGCCACTGACATTTTATTCCCTACTTATCTTTTCTGACTGTTTTTCACTAGTTTTGCATTTGGCTAGGGTCAGTGTCACTACTGGTAGCATGAGGCCATACCTGGACCCTACAGAGGTTGCACAGGCAGTCCAACTCCTCCAGGATGGCACATCAATACGTGCCATTGCCAGAAGGTTTGCTGTGTCTCCCAGCACAGTCTCAAGAGCATGGAGGAGATTCCAGGAGACAGGCAGTTACTTTAGGAGAGCTGGACAGGGCCATAGAAGGTCCTTAACCCATCAGCAGGACCAGTATCTGCTCCTTTGTGCAAGGAGGACCAAGATGAGCACTGCCAGAGCCCTACAAAATTGACCTCCAGCAGGCCACTGGTGTGAATGTCTCTGACCAAAAAATCAAATAGACTTCATGAGGGTGGCCTGAGGGCCCGACATCCTCTAGTGGGCCCTGTGCTCACTGCCCGCCACCATAGAGCTCAATTGGCATTTGCCATTGAACACCAGAATTGGCAGGTTACCACTGGCACCCTGTGCTTTTCACAGATGAGAGCAGGTTCCCCCTGAGCACATGTGACAGACATGAAAGAGTCTGGAGAAGCCATGGAGAACGTTCTGCTGCCTGTAACATCGTTCAGCATGATTGTTTTGGTGGTGGGTCAGTGATGGTCTGGGGAGGCATATCCATGGAGGGACGCACAGACCTCTACAGGCTAGACAATGGCACCCTGACTGCCATTAGGTATCGGGATGAAATCCTTGGACCCATTGTCAGACCCTACACTGGTGCAGTGGGTCCTGGGTTCCTCCAGGTGCACGACAATGCCTGGCCTCATGTGGGGTGAGTATGCAGGCAGTTCCTGGAGAATGAAGGAATTGATACCATTGAATGGCCCTCACACTCGCCTGACCAAAATCCAATACAACTTCTCTGGGATGTCATGTTTCGGTCCATCCGACGCCGCCAGGTTGCACCTCAGACTGTCCAGGAGCTCAGTGATGCCCTGGTCCAGATCTGGGAGGAAATCTCCCAGGACACCATCCGTCATCTCATTAGGAGCCTCCCCCGACGTTGTCAGGCATGCATACAAGCACATGGGGGCCATACAAACTACTGAGGACCATTCTGAGTTGCTGCAATGAAATTTCAGCACAATGGACTAGCCTGCTGCATCATTTTTTCACTTTGATTTTTGGGGTGTCTTTGAATTCAGTCCTCTGTAGGTTGATACATTTAATTTCCATCATATGATGGGACATCCTTACATTCCTAACACATTACTCCGTCCATATCAGTATAGAGATCCAGCAGCAGATTTGCCCCCAGTGAGATCTGATGTGTTTTCAAAGTGTTCCTTTCATTATTTTGAGCCGTGTATATGTAAAGGGAAGCAAAAACTGACAGTGCTATATAAGTACCTGTAATAAATAAAATACTTTTTTTTTTTTCTAAATGTGCTGCACAAATATTGTGTGACATAAAAATATGCAACGCCTCCATTTTATTCTCTGGGGCCAGTGCGTAAAAGCGCCAAAACCGTGAAATTATATGCGAAATAAATGAATAAATGCTGCTGCTCATTAAGCCTTGTAGATGGATTCGCTTTTTGTCTACACAGCTAATGAGTGGTGTCTGGTGATCCTGGAGGTTGGAGGCTGGCTATATTCCTGTCTGGAGGAGGGGAGATCCAAAAATATCTGGTGATTGGAGGCATATTGACTGGGTCTAGGATCCCGAAAAACCCTAAAAGGCGTTTTTTCACCAATATCTGATGAGTGCGGTATTTGAGCACCATTATGGTGGAAAAAACGGGTTAAAAGTTTTATTTTTGGAAAAGGACTTTCCTGAATATATTTGATTTTTCACTTTATTGATTTGGAGTGGGACTTATTTAATTTTCTTTTTATATTTTTTATTGTCATTTATTTTTCACTGCAGTGTTTATTTATGATTTTTTTTTATATATTTGTGCTGTTTTGATGTTTTTTTATATTTATATATATATATATATATATATATATATATATATATATATATATATATATAAATAATGTTTGGGGGTTCTAAGTAACTTTCTGGCAAACAATAAAGTGCTGGTTCTTCAATGCAGAATACCAGCCTTGGCCCGGACTGGGACTAGTTAGGTACGCCTGCGTGGACGAAGCTCTAGGCCCAGGGTGGATAAAAATCAATGATTTTGTTTTTAAAAAATCAAAAAACAAAAATCGGATTTTTTTTTTATTTAAATCGGATTTTTTTAAATAAAATGCTTTTTGAGGAAAATATATTACCATCCAAAGGTTATTCCATCATAAAATAAAGATTTGTTTTTTAATTATGTAGAATAAGGCTGTATATGTTTAGATTTTTTGGTACATAAATTCCATGAATCCATTCACAATGTCACGCTCTTCCAGAGGTTTTTGTAAGATTATTGGGCAGTTTCTCTGCCTACAAGATATTATCACAGATGATTGGTTTACTTTTGCAGTTCTCAAAACTGAATTGGACTCAGCGGAGATCACATGCCTCTTCTTCACAGCAAAAATGTTATAACATGAACAGATTTAAGAAAAAGACCTTCATCCTAACTTCTACAAACCTATGAATACAGAATCAACCCCTTCAGTGCGAAGTTTTCAAGAAGTTCAGTGAATAGAATAGAAACAATATTTTTCTGATTGTTTGGAGTGGAATAGATCTGCACAAGAAGAAAGTGAAACTAAGTGTGAGGGGGAGGGGCTGACAGTCTAAGTTTCTTCAAATATATATATTTTGTTTAGCCAAATTAGTTACCAAACATGGATGTTTGTTTAAGCAAATCACATATGCTGGAATGTTATTGTTTCAGATGAATAAATCTATTTAAATTGTTATTATTAACGTAATGATTATTTTTCTCCTTCCTAAGTACAACAGAAAAGTTGTCCAAATATGAATGATTAACCTATTAAACTGGGGATAAAAAAACTAATATGAAAAGTTGTTGTTCTAAAAATCTTCATCTACTTGTATATTAAAGTTATACCAGCAAGAATTAGTCTTTATGTAGAAAACTAGGATTTATATCAAGCCTTACTGACTAGTGATTTAAATCAAATCCACCCTGGTCTAGGATCCCGAAAAAACCCTAAAAGGCATTTTTTTTCACCAATATCTGGTGAGTGCGGTATTTGAGCACTATTTCAGTGGAAACACGGGTCAAAAGTTTTTTTTTTTGGAAAAGGACTTTCCTGAATATATTTTATTTTTCACTTTATTGATTTGGAGTGGGACTTATTAATTTCCATTTTTATATATTTTGTCATTTATTTAATTTTTCACTGCAGGGTATATTTATGATTTTTTTTATTATATATTTGCGCTGTTTTGACGGTTTTTATTTTATATATAAATAATGTTTGGGGGTTCTAAGTAACTTTCGGCAAACAATAAAGTGCTGGTTCTTCAATGCAGAATATCAGCCTTGGCCTGGACTTGGACTTGTTAGGTACACCTGTGTGGACGAAGCTCTAGGCCCCATTCACATGACACGTAGGTCACGTCTGCAGTTTATGTTTTGTATGTTTTTCACATGATGCACAGAGAACGAAGCCCTACGCACTCCAATGACGTCCCGGCACCTTGTCGGGCACTGCTCTTGGTGCGTGTTGTCTGCTGTGTTCGGGGTGATACTATGGGTGGCGTGATGCGTGTCTTGCCAGGCGGGAACACAAGACGTGTGCGTGGGACCTGGCACAACAGTCCTATGCGTGTACTGGAGCGCCCCCCTATGGTTACATGGAAGCCCCCTGTCCCCGGTATGTTTATCTGGTTGTCAGGTGACGAGCCTCTCCACAGATATCGGGGGCTCTTCTCCACACCGCCATCTTGTCCGACTCTCAGGTGAGTGTCGGTCGGGTGACTTCCTCCATATTCCAGGCAGAGAGCTCTCCCCGACCCCTATGGCTGGACTCTGCGATCCAGGAAGACGGTTCTGGAGGTCACAGCTCAACCCCACGTGGATGACACTGATGTGTGGTGACCGGTTCTCTTTAATGAGCTGTCAGTGTCACCTAACCCAACTGCCCCGGTTGCCATGGAGACACAGCCAGTCAGGTTACACGCACAGCGCGGAGG